CTCACCAGGAGCTGCTCAGGGTAAGCCCCTCCTGCCCCAGCCCTGCCCCCCAAAGCCGGAGCCCCCTCCTATGCCCCAAAGCTCCCATCCTCAGCCCCACCCTGGAGCCCACACACTAGTTACATTCTATTGGGTCGCGGCATCAGCGATTTTCTTCAGCTGGGTCATGAGAAAAAAAGTTTGAAACCCGCCGCATGAAGTGATCCTTTGCATTAGCAGGCAGCTACTTATGAGTATCACTGCCCTGCCAGGCAGGCTGCAGATTAGAGCCAAACGGGGAGACCTCTAACGCAACCCTAAGCGTGGTCTCCGTGACTCAGACACTGGCATGTTTCTTCTCTGCGTCAGTGCTGCCGTGGGCACCCGGCTACTGCAGGGAGCTCTGCATGAAGGGTTCCCGGCTGTCGTTAAGGGCCAGGGGACTTCTGCATAGCTCCATTCAGCACTGCGCTGACTTAGGAATCGATCTCTGATCTTCAAAAGTGAGTTAGGCACATGGGAGCCTGACTCCCATTGACTGACAAAAAAATCCAGGCCCGGGTCTTTACATGCTCAGCACCAGTGTCCCCCCTCATTTTTCCCAGCCACGTGAGGAATAAATTTTGTTGCATGCACCAAAGCCTGTGTGGATGTGCACCACCAGGAGAAACACCTGCTACTGGCGGAGGGAGCTCTGCAAATCAGCTGGGCAACAGTGGAATCTCTGCTGTGTGGCCACCCAAGCGCTCAGCTTACAGGGAACCCTGCTCAGCACTCACAATAGGGATCAGATGCAAACCACAATTCCTATTTCTCTCTGTGTGTGCATATGTAAGAGCGAGATTATTCAATGCTCTCAATGGGAGCTAAGCCAGATGAATACCTGACCCCAGTTTTTGGTGCTGAAACCTTGCAAGAATTCTTGGCCTGAAACCCTCATGTTTTGTTTTCTTCCAAAGCAGAGGAGCAGCTAATTCAAATTAAATTCCCGCTATGCATTTCAGGGGGATGTAGTATTCTTTCCTTTTTGTTGCTGTGTGCTGTTTACCCTTTCACCCCAGAGGCAGCTGCACCTAAGGGAAGGGTGTGGAGATGTTCAGGTTACTGCTGGATGTCCTGAAGGTTTTCAATACAGGGTGAACCTTTCTAGTCCGGCACACTGTGGCCCAGCAATATCCATGGTCCAACATGATGTTAGTTAGCTGGATGTCCATTTATCATGGGTGCCAAGTTTCCCACAGTCCCATAAAGCAGTGGTTTTCAAACTTGGTTTCTCATGACCCAGTCAAAGAAAATTGTTGATGCCTGAGACCCAATATAATTTGACCAGCATGTGGGCTGTGGGGTGGGGCTGAGAATGGGAACTTTGGGGTTATCCATGGTCCAACATGATGTTAGTTAGCTGGATGTCCATTTATCATGGGTGCCAAGTTTCCCACAGTCCCATAAAGCAGTGGTTTTCAAACTTGGTTTCTCATGACCCAGTCAAAGAAAATTGTTGATGCCTGAGACCCAATATAATTTGACCAGCATGTGGGCTGTGGGGTGGGGCTGAGAATGGGAACTTTGGGGTGTAACAGAAGCAGCCAGAGGCAGGTTCCCAGCCAATGGGAGTGCGAAGCTAGTGCTCAGGGCAGGGGCGTGCTCTGTGCACGCTCCTCCCTCTGCACTGAGGAGCCAGGCCTGCCGCCAGCTGCTTCTGGGGCGCAGCGCAGTCTGGACAGGCAGGGCGCTGCCTTAGCACCCCCTCTGTTCACCTGATCCCCTGCAGCAACGAGACCCAGCGCCCGACATTCCACCCCCCTGCGCTGGCACGACCCGTCGTTTGAAAACCACTGGCATAAAGTTTGTTCACAGCCACCCAGTCCTGGCTCCCAGGGTTCTGTGCTGTTCTTGAGCTCCAGTTTACCCCGAAATGTCTTCTAAGAGCACAGCAAGCAGGGGACATGCTGGAAATGCTGCTGGACAATAGTGCCGGTCAGGTCCTGAGGGTGCCAGACTAGAGAGGTTCAACCTGTAGTAAGCTTGAGTCAGCCCTAGGATCACTTCCGGAGCAGGCCTGCTGGTTGTTAACCTTTAGAGCTGCCACAGAGGCTACGACACGCTCAACCCAACCCAGGGCGCGGGATGGACCTTGGAAGAGCTTTCTCACGTGGTGCAGTGCGTTCTCCATCATGTGGGGACTTGCGGGAAAGACTGGCAGCTTCTCGCTAAAGGACACCATCCAGCGCACTCAGACGTTGTGTGTCCAGGATGCCAGAATGCCATTCTCTGACGGTCTCACCCGATGATCAGAACAGGCCTTAAACCACCCCCCCACATCTATCCATCTCCCAGGCCCGGGCCCATCTCCTACCTCTAATGGCATGTGGGTGACCCTTTTATGCTGGAGCTGTAGGTTTTTATGCCGGATATTCCCCGCTGTGTTCACTCACTCCTCTTTTCTTGGCAGCTCTATGAGAACTGGCACCTCGGGCAGCCGGACAGTTACTTCCTGTCTGGAGAAAACTGTGTGGTCATAGTGTGGCATGACGGGGGCCAGTGGAGTGACGTGCCTTGTAACTATCACCTGTCCTACACCTGTAAAATGGGTCTAGGTAAGTGTCTGACCTACCACCTCCTCCTCTGAGGCCAGCTTCTGCTTTGAGAGCCGGAGAGTTGAAAAGGAACGGCCCACTGAGGCAGGGGTTGGAACCTCCATCCCAAGAGGTTTTCAAGTCCCAGATTGACAAAGCCTTGGCTGGCATGATTGAGTTGGAGTTGGTCCTGCTTTGAACAAGGGGGTTGGATTCAATGACCTCCAGAGGGCTCTTCCAGTCCTAGGATTCTATGATTCGATGGAAAATGGGCCCCATGTCCAAAACAGACATTGGAATTGTCTGTTTTTGATGACATTTTTCAGGTTTTCATTAAAAAAATTGAATTTTTGTTAGTTTTTGGTAACAACCCCTCCACCCACCCATAACTCAACTAATTGGCCAGGCAGGCAATGGATTTCATTTTGCCAACTGTTTTTGCCCAAACGACCAGAGGGTTTGGGGGTTTGGTTGCCAAAAACACACCTTTTTTCCCCCAAAAATACATTTGCTGCTGAGAACGAACGTTTTTAGGTTTGGATTTTAACGCAGGGTGGGAGGGTGGAAACATTGTGAAAAAAACAAAACAAAAAACTTTTCATGTAGCTTTTTCACATAACCCCCCCAACTTTCCAACTGCCTGAACATGCTGGAAGCAATTCCTTCCAAAGTTACACTGACTAACTTCGAACTCAGACACCTGGCTCTCTATTGTGCTGCATCTTCTCATAAGCCCTTCCATTCATCCAAAGTGTTACTAGTCACCCTGGGAACATTTTACAGCCATTGTGTGGTAGGGTCAATATTAGGGTCGGTATTAGGTGCAGTGGAGTGGAGAATCAAGGGAGTCTCTTTGGTTCGAGTTAATTGTTACACCTCGTGGAATGAGGTGTAACAGTTAACTCGAACTAAAGACTTAGTTCGAGTTAACGTTTGACTGCCGCGTGTAGCGGCGGGCAGTTAGTTCGAACTAGGGGGATTTAAAAATGGCGCCCGGATGGGAAGATGCAAATAAAGCCCGGGATATTTAAATTCCGGGCTTCATTTGCCACTTCGAATGTCTACATTAGCCTCCTTAGTTCAAACTAGGGGGCTAGTGTAGACATACCCTCATAGGTCATGTTCTTTAGACCTTTAATCATTCTTGTTGCTCTTCTCTGGCCTTTTTCCAATTTGTCCACATCTTTCCACAAATGTGGTGCCCAAAGCTGGACACAATATTCCATGGCTGTGTCTATACTGCACCTGTTTTGCGCAAGAAATATGCAAATGAGGCTAAGCATGGAATATCGCAGAGCCTCATTTGCATAATTAATGAGCACCCACTTTTTGCGCAAGAGCCGTTTTTCCAGAAAAACATGCGGAAGAACGGCTTTTGCGCAAGATCGGGGTTTTCCTCAAAAAGGAGCAAAATAGACGGCTCCTTTTTGCGCAAAAGCCTCTTGCCAAAAAGCAGGCGCTCATTAATTATGCAAAAGAGGCTCGGTGATATTCCATGCTTAGCTGCATTTGCATATTTCTTGTGCAAAATGGGTGAAGTATAGACAGAGCCCGTCTGAGGCCTAATCAGTGCAGAGTAGAGTGGAAGAATGACTTCGTGTGTCTTGCTTACAACACTCCTGCTAACCAATCGCAGAATCATGTTTACTTTTTTTTTTTTTGCAACTGTGTCACACTGTTGACTCATATTTAGCTTGTGATCCACTCTGACCCCTAGATCCCTTTCTGCAGGACTCCTTCCAGGGTAGTCATTTATGCCCCTTGAGCAACTGCTAGCAGGTAGCAGTAGCGGGCTGTTATCCTCTGTGTGGACTGACCATGAAAAGAGAACAAGGAGACATTTCCTCAAGCAAGCTACAAAGAAAACTGAGTGGAAATGATACAAGCACTAAATGTGACTGATAAATAGACTGGGATAAGAAAAAAAACTGCCAAAAATGTAGGCTAAAATTCCCCCTCCCCCTTTTTTTGTGTGTGGAAATAAGAAATGCTGGTTAAAAGTTTTAGTGAAATTTTGAAAATACCCTCCCATCTCTAATGACTCTAGGTTTTCAGGGGCAACAGGAGTGGGATTATTTTACAGTGGGCATACTTAGTGTGTGTGTGTGTGTGTGTGTGGCTGTTCATTTTAGTAGCTAGGGACAGTAAATGAATTCTGCATCTCTCCCTCTCCCTCGTTCCCTCAGTGTCTTGCGCCCCTCCGCCCGAGATAGCGAACGCCCACTGGTTTGGCAAACCAAAGCAACGCTATGAGATCAACTCCATCGTACGGTACCGGTGTCTGGATGGTTTCACCCAGCGCCACTCACCCGTGGTTCGGTGCCAGGAGGACGGCCGGTGGGAGCAGCCGCAGCTCAGCTGTGAGCCGAGTGAGTGCTGACGAACAAAGGGCTAAAGGCCTGCCCATGGCGGGCCTTTCGTTTCAATGATATGGGGATCTGGCCCATTGGCAGCAAGTCAGTGGACATCAGTTGAGGACATGGTCCCTAGGAGCCTCTCATGGCTGGAACATGAGTTCCTTTCACCATTGTGGGCGGAAGGCGGGTGTCTGCATTGCTCATGGCCCCCAAAGGCCAGGTGATCACAATAGACGCCCAGGCCATACACGATTGGCTCAGCTCTTTCTTAGCGGAGATGCTAAGAAGGATCATTGAGTTGCCATGTTCTAGTGTGTGACGTCATGGCCGGCAGGCATCAGGAAGGGGTCTGCTTCCCCTGGGTCCTTTAAAATCCCTTTGATGCTCATCGGGAGCTTGCCATGTACAGATAAAACACCAGAGGCTGGAGGTGGGATACAGAATTGAATGGATCAGCTGTGGGAGGAGGTAGACGGGGAGCTGGTATGGTCTGCTATAGGATGGCAGCAGGGCTGTTTCTACCAGATCGGATGCTCTACACAGCCCGAGCACCTGCATCCAGCCGGTATGTGCTCCAGGACCATGGGGGCAAGAGCTGTGTGTTTGTGTATGTGGCGGGGGGGTGAGGGGGGGATGTGGCGGGGGGTTGAGGGGGGAGGCAGGAGCAGGTCAGAGAGGCAGCAGGAGGCTGGGGCCGGCCACTGAAACCAGAGCCGCCACATTCACAGTACACAGCTGCGTAGGGCACCATGAAATTTGGGGCAATTTGATGACCCACGTTTTGTGGCACCCTATATAATTGCATATTTTGCGTATTGATAGGGATGGCCCTGGATGGCTGTTGGGGGTGAACTTGGCTAAACAGTAGTTGTGACAATGGGTGAAGCTAACCCAAACCAAGCAAAAATGCCTCTGGGCATGTATTTTGTCAGCTGTGCAGCAGGAAGTGACATTTACGTGAGCAGCCTAGAGCAAGGATTTGGCGTGGCATTGGGTGATCTGCAAGAAACTTGCGAGAACCAAAGCAAAAGCAAATAATTGATCTCATCTGTGCATCTTCGAAAATCCTAGCTTGTGACTGACAGCTCCAGGAAATGCTCACATGAGCTTGAGATGGGATAAAACCGAGCCTTCACGAGCTCATGAACGCCCAGCCCAATGGGCTAGCAAAAGGGCTACAGAGACAATTCTGGGTTGTGTAAAGAGGACGAGAGAGTAGGAGCAAGGGGAGGCGATTTTACCCCTGTGCACACTAGCATTGGTGAGACCAATCTCGGAATACTGAGCCCAGATCTGCATCCCCAGTTTTAAAAAAAGTTGAAAAACTGGGAAGGATACAGAGAAGCACCACAAAAATAATTTGAGGTCTGGAAAAAGAAATCTTATGGTGGGAGACTTAAAGCCTTTAATCTGGTTAGCTGGCCAAAAAGAGGATCAAGAGGTGACTTGATTATAGTGTCTAAAGGCTTGTCTTCACTTATCCTGAGATTGACACTTCAGGGATCCATCTCTCAGGATTCGATTTAGAGGGTCTAGTAAGAACCTGCTAAATCAACCACTGATGGCATCGACCCCGGTACTCCATCAGGTCACGAGGAATAAGGGAAGTCAATGGGAGAGTTTCTCCCATTGACCACCCGTAGTGGGGACATCACCAGTGTTCTTCCTAAACTGCGTGGCAGCACAGCCCTACAGCTGATTAATCAGCCCACCCAGACAGTCAGCTCCATGCACGGAGCTCTGAGCCTCTGACTAGGCAGGGCTGACTAATTGGCTGCAGGGCTGTGCAGCTGTGCAGTTTAGAGGATACAATGGACACCACAGAAATTCAATCTAAGCCCTTCTCATAGCTGGAGATGTGTATCTGAGGTTGACTTTCTCCCATAGTGTAGACCTGGCTTAAGTATCTTATACCATGTAAAACACCATGCACCAAAGGGGTTTTTAATCTAGTGGGGAATGGCAGAATAAGAACCAATGGCTGAAGTTAAAACCAGAGACATCCAAACTGAAAATCAGGCCCACATTTTTACCAAAGAGCATGGCTGCCCACTGGAATAAACTACCAAGGACGTGGTGGGATCTTTAGGTCCTGATGTCTTCACAGCAAGACTGGCCGCCTTTCTAGAAGATACTTGAGTCAAACCCAGGAGGGCAGACTACATGATCTAATGGTTCCTTTTAGTCTATGAAACCAAGCCGGACATGCATTTGATTGATGTTTCCTCTCCTTGTCTATTTCTCCATGAAGGACTGGGCCAAACCCTCGATGAGTGAGGATGAACCCAACATGGAAGACATCCCATCCCAGAACAATGGGGTCAATTCTCAATGGAAACAGAACTGGGATTTTTGTTTTGGTTTTTTTTGTAAAACAGCCTGAAAACCAGCAGGAAAAGCACCGAAGCCTTCCTCCCTTTCACGTTTTTTGTGTATAAAGAATTTCTAATGACTAAAGATTCCCTTTAAAAAAAAAAAGTCAACAGCAACATAAAATGTAACTGTTCACACTGGGCACAGAGTATTATTTTTTTCCGAGGCCACCTCTTATGCTGCGGTTGATATTCAACCCAATATCCTGACGGAGGAGACTGCTGCATTTTTCATGGCAGGTCCCATGCACAAACCTGTGCTTGCTTTTGGTGCTCCTATTCCTCCTTGGCACGCAGTGGTGGCTAACACAGGCGTTGACTTTTGTTTTCGACAGCAAGCGCTCCTCTCTGCCTCCTCTTACTCATGCAAGCAGGGGGTGGAGCTTGGGGAGAAGAGGCCAAGCAGAGGCGAGGCTCTGGGGAGTGTTGGTGGGCAGAGCCTTGTGGGAACAGAGTGGGTGCGGGGAAGTTGGTGGCTGGGACCGGCTGGAAAACGGGAATGAAGAAGGCTATGCCAGAATCTTTCAGCTGTAGACAGCTGGCAAAGGATCAACCTGCCCTAAGTGAACTCTGGGAAAGTCTCAATCTGGGCCCGCTCTTACACTGGAGGGTCATTTCTCCTAAATGTAATGAGGCCTCAGATTGAGCATGGAAGCTGGATAGCGCAAGGTGCCTGCAACCTGCAGCGCAGGCGTCTCTGGCCCCACGCTAGTGGCTACTTCACAAAGTTAGCCAGTCTGTTATAGGATTGTGCTTTGGTTGCCACACTAGGTACAACTTGTCTTCTAGCTCTGAAAGTCCATGGTTCAAGGCTTGGATTGTGTCACCCTGTGGCTAAAATGCATCCCCCGGCAGGCTGGTTTTAGGGTGGATTTACCATCATTTTATTAATTTGCATGGACAAAATTAGTCAAACTCATTGCTTTCTTGCCTTTAATTTACACTGAATGGCTTCTTCATGGGGAAAGTTTGACTGGTGTTGGAGTTAAAAACAACAACAAAAAACAGAACTTTGTGAACACAGTGTAGTGAGCTAGCTGAAGGTCTGATTACACTGCTGCCCTCTGTTGGAATGGAATCGGAATGGGTCAACTGTGTGTCATAGCCCCTATACTGCTGCGGAGTAAGGAGATTCTCTTTTAGCTCAAGTGGCAGGGACTGTGTTTTGCAAAGCCGAGGGATCAGAGCTGTGGACCTGCTATTGCTGTGAATTTTCACAAGCATGAGTATATTGAGAGCTGGGAAATTCTTTATCTCCAGGCGTAATGAACCCTGGTTGGAAATAGGTGAGTAATGGATACAAAATGCCATTTTTTTGTTAGCCTTAAACTAAAACCTCTACAGTTACTGGTTATTCCTCCAAGAGGTTCAGAGACCTCACTGGAGCAGGCCATGGGATTATTACTGGGTCCCAAAGATTTTTGTCTTCTCCTGACAACTCCAAATAGCAGCTAAGATACAGCAGAGGCCAAAACCTAGGAAAGCAAAATCCCCAAGAAGTTCTGAGGTTGGGAGCTTTGCTGCTTCATTGTTGCTTGCTCTCTGTGTTGAATTCACCCCTGGGCAAGAGGATCAATATCAATGTTCCCTCTAATCCTTTCCATCCATGTGTAGAATAAATGTTTTTATGTGCACCAACGCACGTGCGGATATGCACCACCAGTAGAAACACAAAACCTATCTGGGCGGCATTTGAATTTCTCTTAAGCGGCTGCTCAAGTGCATAGCTAACTTGGAACAATGGTCAGAATCCAGCCTGGGAACCACGTAAGCCTGCAAAGGTCAGTGCTTAAGTGGCCTACAGGCCCTATGCCCAGAGTTCGAATGTTGTGTGACAGTAGATTCCTCTATTCCCAGAACAAAGGCAAGCAGCCATCTGTCTCTCCCTGCCCGCATTCCTGGACGATGGAGTAGGATTCTAGTCTTCATGGACCGTCCAGTCAGTCCTTGGTCTGACAATGAAGCGCTTGGCTGAGCGAGTGCTGGTGTGTTGTGCTGCCTGAGACCCACTGGGAAAGAGAAAAGCACCCGGGAGACAGCTCTCCCCCCACCCGGCACCCCAACACCCTCCTCCCCCCCCCCAGCCCTATTTCACCGAGAAGCAGTAGGTCCCGTACGTCCTCTGCTCTTTGTTGGGGAAGCCGAAGCTCCGGACGCCGGGGTCCGGAAGGCCCCCGCAACGGGCGCGTGGGGTGGTGATGGGGTAGCGCACGCTGCCGTCCGCCAGCCAGCCCCCATCGCACCGGTCCAGCTGGACGAACTTCCATGCTGAGTAGAGCTGCCCGACATTGGCAAGGGTGGCCCCTTGGTTGTGGCAAGCCTGCCCCGCCTCTTTGAAGTTCAGGTGGCCCTGGATGAAATAGACCTGGCCTGGGGAGAGAGGAGGGGAGGGATGAGGGTCAGGGTGTAACCCACCCACACAGCTCCTGGGTGTGTACTAGGCCAGTGGTTTTCAGACGACAGGCCACGCCCCAGGACTGGGGGGTGGAATGTCCGGCGCTGGGTCTCCTTGCTGCAGGGGGATCAGGTGAGCAATGGGGGTGTTAAGGCAGCTCCCTGCCCATCCTGGCACCGCAGACTGTGCTGTGCCCCAGAAGCGGCCAGTAGCAGGTCCAGCTCCTAGGTGTGGCCGGGGTGGGGGAGAGCACCCAGGGCTCCATTCACTGCCCCAGCCCTGAGCACTAGATCCACACTCTCAACCCCAGAAGCAGCCAGCAGTAGGCCTGGCTCCTAGGTGGGGGGGGAGGGGGAGCACACACAGCTCCATGCACTGTCCCTGCCCCAAGCATTAGCTCCGCACTCCCATTGGCTGGGAACCTGCTGCTGGCTCTTCTGGGGGCAGCATGGTCTGCGGTGCTAGGAGAGGCAGGAAGCTGCCTTAGCCCCCCCGCTGCACCACTGACCGGGAGCTGCTCACGGTAAGCCCCTCCTGCACCAGCCCTGCCCCCGCCCAAAGCTGGAGTCTCCTACAGCCCAAAGCTCCCATCCTCAGCCCCACCCTGGAGGCCACACACCAGTCACATGATGTTGGGTCGCGGCATCAGCGATTTTCTTCAACTGGGTCATGAGAAAAGTTTGAAAACCAGTGAGCTAGATGACTTAGGGTGCGTCTACACAGCAGCCTTCCCTCGAAATAAGCTACGCGATTTGCATAGCTTATTTCGAGGTAACTTCAAAATACCTTATTTTGAAATTTGGCGCTGTCTACGCAGAGCCAAATTTCAAAATAAAATGCTATTCCGACAAGTCCCTTAACCCTCGTGGAATGAGGGTTACAAGGATGCTGGAATAGCATGCCCGTTATTTCAAAATCCATGGCTGCTGTCCCCCGACCTTCCCAAACTCCGCCCTTGAGCAGACGTTTGATAGGCTGACCCAGAAAGGGAGAAGGAGGGGGGACAAGACCAGACAGATGAGTGAGCTTGACTCAGGACAGAGGCTGGGACCAGGCTAGCGGAGTCTTTCGTCACACACAGCAGCCGCGCTCCCTCGGGACATACCCCTCACCGCTGAGGTGAAGCAGAAGGCATCGAACCGGTCCTTCTGCTTGTCCTTGGCCCCGTAGGTCCGGATTCCTGGGAGGAGGAGATGCCCCCCGCAGGGCTCGCGAGGGTTAATAATGGGGTAGTGGACAGTCCCGTCAAGAAGCCAGCCTGCGTTGCACCAGTCCAGCCCTTCGGTCCACGCTGTGGGTTAGTGGGAGAAAAGAAACAGGCAAGCTCAGCACATTGTGGGCAGCAGTGCATAGGAACCAGGTAGGTCTGATACCTTAATAACAGGCCTGGTTCTCCCTCGGCCTGTATCTTGCGCAGGGGAGAGGGTTCTATTCCCAGCTCCTGCTGCAAGTGTGGTCCAGGAATTAGAGGAATGGCTGGGGATTCCAGTCTCCTGGCTTATCATCCCAGCTGTGGGGTGGCAGAATGTGGCTTAGTGGTTTGAAAAGAGGGGATTGGAGAGGCAGGACTCCTGGGTCCTATTCCCAGATCTGATGGTGGCTGTAACAATTACCCTGTTGTTTCAGATCTTTCCAGGCAAGCATTTGTAAGCCAGGTAAAACATCCCACAGCAATACAGAGATAAACATTGGTTTATCTAGAGCAGGGTTCTCAAACTTTTTAGCCCATTGTGCTCAATGCAGACCTTTCTGCGGACCACCACCCAGCCATCCATGATGATAAAATGGGTGCAGACAGGGTAGGACTGCACGGTCTAGTTGGGTGCAGGAGGGCAGTAGAGATACAGGATCTGGGCATTAAAGGGATGGGGGGCACTTATCTGGCTCCACACACACTGCCGCTCCCAGGCACTGCCCCCACTGCTCCTATTGGCTGTGATTCCGGCCAATGGGAGCAGCAGAGAAAGCCTCCAGGCAAAGGGTTTCCTGCGCTGACGTCATTCCCCCAGCTGGAGGCAGGGGGAGCGGCAGTGCACAGATCCACTTCCTTCCCCTGTAAGCTGGATCCAACCCATGAGACTTGAGCCCTGGGGAAGCCATTGCTGGTGCTCCAACCTTGCGAGGAAGGTGGGGAATTTGGGGGTGCAGGGCTGGAGCACTGGCACAGGCTCCCTGCTGCAGAGACAGCGAGCTCCGAGCCTGCGGCCCACCTGCAAGACAGCAGTCCACAGACCACCCTTTGAGACCCACTGATCTAGAGCAAAGTCTGTGAATTGGCCACTGAAAGAGGCTGGCGAAACAGCTGGTGCTCCAACCTTGCGAGGAAGGTGGGGAATTTGGGGGTGCAGGGCTGGAGCACTGGCACAGGCTCCCTGCTGCAGAGACAGCGAGCTCCGAGCCTGCGGCCCACCTGCAAGACAGCAGTCCACAGACCACCCTTTGAGACCCACTGATCTAGAGCAAAGTCTGTGAATTGGCCACTGAAAGAGGCTGGCGAAACAGAGAGGCTGGTTACCTGCGTAGAGCTGCTGGTAAGTAGCCAGCCTGGAGTCCTGATCCTCACAAGCCTGCTTAGCCTCAAAGTAGTTGAATTTGTAGCGTCCCTGGCTGGTCTGGTAGGGGAAGACGACACCTGGGTGATTGGGACAATAGGGGAGTGAGTCCATATTCTGGGAGCAGACAGTGACGTGAGAATCTCGGTGCAGTGTGCTGGCCTCTGCGCCCCTCCCCCCCACATTTTTCCAGTTAAAAAATGCAGTTTTGACGC